TTCATCATTGTCACCATTTTGTACATTGTCCGTCGAATATATTTCCCTTTGAAACTGCTTAATCAAATGTTATTAAACTTAACAGTAATAATGCATAGCAAAGCATATATTCTGTTGCCACCTGATACAAATTATGGCTGGTGCAGGTAAAAATAGAACAATCAAATTAAAACGATAGTTCTGGACTTAATTTACCGGTATATTATGGTCTGTATGTGTTGATCTATTATAAAATATTCAGAACAGAAATTAAATGTCAGCTTTTAGCAAATTTTACAGTTATTTTAATTGAAAACTATTTTAGATAGAAAATCACAAAAAACTTAAAATGACTTTAAACAACGATTTTACCCAGTTTTATGTTGGCCTGGTCTACGGCAAACATCTTGTTCTCTGAAATTACTGGGCAAATTAGAACCAAAAGTTATCATTCTTATTATAAATATATTAAAAAAAACACCTGAAGGGACATATAAATACACTATAATATAGAATAAAGAACACTGTTGAATAAAAAGTTGATTTTGAGTTTTTGCTTAAAATTTTATACTTATTTGTCTATAAGACTCCATATATGCGTTATGCCCTTAAATGACGACTGTTACCCGTTTTTAAGTCTAATTAAAGTTAATCTTGAAATTGCAATAAATCGAAAAAAAAACTTTATACAACAAGAATATTAAGCAAGACAAGATCTATAACAAAGTCAAATCTTATGAATCTTCACTCAAATTCCCCCTTCCAATGATGATTGTATCCTTTGTGTTTTGCTAAAACTTAAGCTCGATAAAGAGAAAGTCTGCACAGCTGAAACAATCAGCAAACCACACAAGATGTTGAAAAACTATAAAACACAGAGAGAATTCAAACATCAAAGTCAATCATCTATATAAAATCTACAGACATGTCAACATGATCAACAACAGTTTGTCTACTTCTTCAGCAAGTTATTTCCTTCAGTGACAATTTTCCCTATTTAAGTGTTTTATATCGACAGCAATATTAGATAGAGTAAATTGTAATAAGCAACAATGGTCAACAAAATAAGATCTACAAATAAGTCAATTGACAATCGGCACATATAGACATTCAAAGTCATGTTTTGTCTCCTTTTGTCTTTTTGACAATTATAAAAAAAAAGTTTTAGTAAAAGAGTAACTATAACAAGTAAGAAAGAATAGGCAGAATTAAGATCTTTAAATCTAAATCGACTCATTATTGAAGTTGTTGCTATCTTTTAGAATAACAATATTTCTTTAATTTAGAAAAACAGAAATCTAAAAACAAATTATGGAATCGTATTAAATGCTCGGAAGGCAAATATAAAACTGTCATAACAATATTCAATACTATCAGAGCAGGTTAAATTTTACTCCAAGTTGATTAGTACTGAGAGTTGGGACGAAAATAGCGCAGAAAAACTTATCGGATGAATTGACAGGAAACTGACAGACGATGATAGACAAAATATAGAACGACAAATTGAAGTTGATGAATTAACAAAGACAGTTAAAATCTTTAGAAAGATAAGTCTCTGGGAAGGGATGGGATTATATCGGATTTTTTTTCATATAAACTGGGATCTTCTCAAAACTGATTTCACTGAAGTAGTTAAGGAAATATTTGACAAAAATGAACTCAGTAAATCGCAATACCAGGGAATGTTAACTTTACTACATAAGAGAGGGGAAAGAGAATTAATAAAAAAAAAAACTGAAGGCCTTTAAGCTTGATGAATACGGGTTATAAAATTTAATCAAAGATGTTGGCAGAGCATCTAAAAGTCTAAAACCGTTGTTAAATAAAATTATTCACCCGAATCAAAAAGGGTTTGTGAAGGGGAGAAATATAAGTATTGGAAATAGACTCAGTTTTACGGGATATTATTGAATATGTAGAAAATGAGGATATAGAGGGATCAATTATATTTCTAGACCAGCAGAAAGCTTTTGATAAAGTCGAATGGGGATGGCTGATAAAGGTTATGGAGAGCCTCAAGTTTGGTAATAATTTTTGTAGCTGGACAAAACTGCTATTCAAAAATACCAACACTTATATTAATACAAATGAGTTTCTGTCTAAATCAATAAGCAGATCAATTAGACAAGGATGTCCTATAGCCCCCTTTTTGTTCATAATACAAGCTGAACCAATGGCATGTGCCGTTCGTGCTAATGTAGAAATACAGGGAATCAAAATACCAACGGAAAATTGCCTTATTAAAACTAAATTATCAATGTTTGCGGATGATACACTACTTTTAAACAAATCCGAACAATCGGCTATAAAAGTTTTCGAAATATTGGAAATATATGAAAAAGCCTCCGGTTCCATAATTAACTTCGATAAAACAAAATGCTTGCTTATTTGGAGGCTAAAGGGCAAAAAACAATTTTCAAAATAATATCCTATATCAAGGATAACATAAAAGCTTTAGGGGTGCACCATGGTTATAATATTAAAAACAGTAAAATATGGAATTCAGTAATTGGCAGGATAAAAAACTGTATTCGAGTTTAGAAAACTAGAAAATTAACTTACAGAGGTAAAGTATTGGTTTTAAAAAAACAATTAATACCTATTTTGGAATACAATGTTGAGGTGAGGGGTATACCTAATGAGTGTGAAAAATAAATAAACTCACTTTTCTAGGATTTTTTTTGGGGCTCTAAAGTCATCCTTGTCGACAGAAAATCATGTTGTCTAGATGAAAGCTTCGTGTGGGGGGGGGTCAAAATAATCAGTTTCGAAATTTTCATAAAAAGAAACCATGTACAATTAATTTATAGAATTTTATGAAGGTTCAACACAAAGATGGAATGCAACTGCTAAATACTGGCTAAAACACTTTGACAAAACATTTGGTTTTAAATATTTTATATGTACGTGTAAAGATCTAAATGGAATTAATATTAAGTATAAATGTCAATTTTCTTCCAAAAGGTGGTTACTACATGGTGTGAACTTTATATTAAAATGACCGAACGTTCAAAAATGGCATTCTTGAAGGGAAGATATTTGGTAACAACAATATGAAATGGAAAGGGAAACCTTTGCTCTTCCTTTCCTTCACCAAGAATGTCGCCAATAAAAGATGTTTGTAATATCGAAACGGAAAACTTTCATAGTAATAAAATGCAAATACAATCTAATAAAGAAATCAATCAACACTGATTGGATTAACTAACTAAGAAGCGTCATTAGTAATCCAACTAATTTGAAGCACATACAAATCTTGAATAAAAACATATAAAAATTATGATATAGAAAGAAATTTCTTCCCTCCCCCCAAAAAAAATTAATTAAAATCATTACAAAAAATACTAAATATATGTACTAGTGTAAAATGTGAAATTAAATGGAATAGAACATTTACATGTAATACGGAACTAGACTGGCAATCAGTTTGTAAAAAGATTCACAAGCTCCTGTATCAAACAATAATTTCTAATTCTAATGGAAATCACTACATAATATACATTATACTGAATTTAAATTGTACAAAAATGCGAAAGTCCGATGGCCTGTGTAACTTATGTGGGAAATGTTTTGAAACCCAAGAACATTTATTCTATTATTGTTATACAATTTATAACGTCATTGAAGAAATAAAATGATTGCTAACTCTGTGCATAGATATAAAGCTTAGCTTTGATGTCCAAAACTTGATTATTGGATATAATCAAGATCTTGGTAAAACGCAAATGCATAATGGAAATTTTATAGTGTTTCCGGGAAAATTTAGTATTTTGAAAGATCGAAACGACAATAAATTCAACAAAACAGCATTTAATGAAACATCTATCCTCCGTATTTTTAAGAAAGATATGAATGATTTTATCAAAATGATCACTAAATCAAACTATAAAAACATTTATTTGGAATAGACAAACTTGACCGTTCATCTCAAATATTGTAATTACTATTAATAGTCGAATTTGCTTGTTCTTTGCTTATTCTTTGCTCATTTTGAAGATATATATCCATTTTTATGAAATAACTTGTGCCTCGGTATTATAGTTATAGTTATAATTTGAATACCATAACTTCAAATTTAATATTGATTCCATTGAGGTCTACACCAGAGCATGGGCTAAACGAGAATAAGTTGAACTGGACACTTTGTCAGAATGGGCCAAAACAATCAGGTCTCTGATAAAATGTCAAATTCATAAGTTGTTGAAAAACTGTGTGAATTATTAACCAAAGTTCGTTTTCAGAGACAAAGAAGCTCTGAAATGGCTATCATCTCTTCACAATAACTATGTTGTTGAGGACAAAGCTTCAAATAACATTGATTTTGTATGTAAATCGTCCTACTACGAGTGTCTTGTAAAAGAATAAAGAATAAATGAGCACTCAGGTAATCCCAAATACAAAAACATATCATTTGACAAGGATGAGATTTTAGCGAATCATAAGTCCTTCATGACTTCAATGAACTTTACATTGAACAGCAAATCTGTTGACTTACCTTCTTTGTATTGGATACCTAAGCTTCACAAAATTCCGTACAAACAACGGTACATTGCCGGCTCATCTGCATGTTCTACAAAGGAATTGTCCATTCGATTAACAAAAAAATATGTCCGTAGTGAAAAGAGTCTTCAGAAATACTGTGAAACTGATTTTCTTATTGACAACATATTTATTGAATTTGAAGGTAGACTTTTTCAACAAATTGTAGGCATTCCTATAGGAACGAACTGTGCGCCTCTCCTTGCCGACCTCTTCTTATTTTCATATGAGTCGGAGTTCCTTCATACACTTATCAAAAACAAGAAAATCGCAGAAGCAATATCATTTAATTACGCATTCAGATATATTGATGATGTTCTTTCCATTAACAATCCATTTTTTCTCAATTCCAGGTTTAAATAAGTTGCCAGAATTTTATTTGAATGTAGTAAAAGCATGGGTAAAAAACAAAACAATAGAGCAGCCTAAAAACTTTAAATCTAGTCGTCAACAAGTAATTTGGGGAAATCAATTCATTAAGATAAAAAAAAAAGTCTTTTATTTCAAAACTGGATAAATAGCAATATCATCTATCTAAACGACATTATAGATGAAAATGGTAACATATTGGAGAAACATATTTTGCAAAAGCTCAGGATTAAATATAATTGGATGTCAGAATTTTCTCAATTGAAGAAAGCCTTTCCAAAAGAATGGCCTAATATTTTACAACAAGAAAATTCAAAGAAAACTAAAGTAAAAACAAATTATGTTTTATACATTTAGAATAATTGTAATTATATAGAAAAATTAGAAAATTTAGACACTAAAAAAATTTATAATATATTTATTCAGAATGAGATTGAAATGCCTGTTGGTTTTAACCGATGGAAAACAGTGTTAAACATTGAGTTTATTCATAGTTCAACATGTAATATATTAAAATTTGTTCATCATTATTTGAAAGAAAATAAGTATAAAGTGTTTCGTTGGAAACTGTTACACTTTATTCTACCTTGTAAAACTTTATTAAAACAGTGGAATATCTGCAATACTTCAAATTGTCATTATTGCAATATCACTGAGGATTATGATCATATGTTTCTGAAATGTCACTTTCTTGATGACTTCTTAAGTAAAATAAAAAATCTTCTTGAAAAACTGAATATTGATAATAATATTCTAACATTGAAGAATTTAGTATTCGGTTATAAAATTAATGATGAACAATATTATGAAATCAATTATTTGATTACATTAATAATGTTTTGTATATATAAAGCTAATTACATGTCTGAACAGAAAACAGAATCTATAAATGTGTATGCTGTATTTAAAGCAGAATTTATGTATAGTTACAAACTGCAGGCAAAATGTAAGAATACAAAATATAAATGTATTCTAGATAAAACTGCCAAATTGTTAAAATAATTTCTTTGTTTGAGAAGTATATGATCTAGCAAAAATAAATGGATGAATAAATTAATAAAAGACATAAATTTTACGAATTACACATCTGGAACTGATCAAGTAATATAAATTTTACCTTTCACCGCTACTGTACATGTACATGTGATGATTGACAAACAAATGATTGATAACGAGACTATTTACCGTTACAAAAAGAAGATTAAAAAATGAAATATTTATTTAATCTTAATCTTCCTTATACTACAGAACATTTTTAATTCAGACATACCTGTGAATATGCTATATCACATCTGTTTATTTTTTATTTTTTAAGTCATGGCCGGTGTGACAATATTTGTTTCAAAACCAGGAAGATGTTTGATAGAAAAACAATTCACCCGTTTACGGAGGAAATATGAAAAATTTCCGGAAACAATACCCAGAAATCAATTATTGCTAGATGATATATATAGTAAATTGTTAAACAAATAAGTACCATTGATATATACTTGTTAATTTCATTGCTGATAATTTTATAAATTAGCTGTTAAATTAAAACTAATGTTAATTTAATATAATGATGCTTACCAGAAACAACCCTGGATTTCTGGTATTAACAAACAGGGACTCTTTACTGGAATGCTGGACTAGTGAAGTACATTGTTAACAGCAGAAAGTGCAATTAGTTATTGTTGAATAAAAAAAAAAAACAAACAAAAAAAAACAATCCATTTTTTTCTGATTGGGTTCCATTAATATATCCTCCTGAAACAACAGACACGGCTTCCTCCGCCTCATTTTTAGACTTATATCTCGAATTTGACATAAGCAGTCATCTTTGTACCAGAATCTATGACAAACGAGACGATTTTAATTTGAAATTATCAATTTCTTTAACCTTAGTAGCAATATACGAACTTCACCTGCATATGGGATATATATTTCCCAAGTCATTCGGTATTCAAAAGCTTGCAGCTGCTACTCAGACTTTATAAAACGTCACCAGTGCCTGAGCAGAAAGTTGATGAACCAGGATTATGTCAAAGAGCGTCTCGTCCTTTTTCTAAAAAAAGTTCATCGGAAGACACCAAGACCTTGTTGATAAATATTCTGTATCAACTTCACAAATGATACATAATGATCTTGATGTATAGATTCTAGTTACTGACGTTGTTATCATCTTAATTACGTGTTAAAGTGTTCTTTTATATGTTTCTGTAGAATATCAACCTTTACTGTTTATAGATGTAAGAAGATGTGGTATGAGTGCCAATGAGACAACTCTCCATCCAAGTCAAAATTTATAAAAGTAAACCATTATAGGTCAAAGTACGGTCTTCAACACGGAGCCTTGGCTCACACCGAACAGCAAGTAATAAAGGGCCCCAAAAAATACTAGTGTAAACCATTCAAACGGGAAAACCAACGGTCTAATCTATATAAAAAACGAGAAACGAGAAACACTTATGAACCACATCAACAAATGACAACTACTGAACATCAGATTCCTGACTTAGGACAGGTGCAAACATTTGCAGCGGGTTTAAACGTTTCAATGGTACCAAACCTTCACCCTTATCTGAAACAAAAGTGTAACATCACAACATAGAAAGACACACTATAAAATATCAATTGAAACGGCTTAACTCAATCAAAATACATATTAACACCAGTGAACATATACTGAACAAATAAATTTGATCTATGATATAATGTAAATACAAAATAAATAAACTAAGGGAAGAATAATTAAAGTAACATGTTATACCGCTGTGAAATGTTAAACAATTTAAAAAAAAAACAATATGCTAGAACAAAAATATCAGCCATTTGCAAATACTTTAAACACAGGTAAATGAAAATAATTTTGTTGTAAGGTATACGTGTACAGGTCAAATAGAGAAAGGAAATATTTTTACAAAAAAATAATTTTAATGTTCAAAGTACGAAAAAGTGAAAATTTATAGTAATACCAAACACTTATCAAAGCTGGTATATAGACCAGATATAACCCTAAATAACATTAAACAACAAAAAAGCATTACAATTAGTATCAACAGGTCAAACAAACAAGAAAGTACGATTTGAGAGTACTCGCAGTTACTGACAGCTAGTTAAAAGCCAAAAAACAATAAATAATAAAAAAAAATCATGCATCAGAGACTAAAATCAACTAAAACACATCCCAGGGATTTAGTATTTTAACGTCATGGACAGTGAAAGAAGACATGACTTGTGCAATGCCAAAAATAATGTATCGACAGGCAGTAGGATAGTTAGGAGTTAACCTCTTTATAGATCAAAATAAACGTGGGTGCGTTTTTGGTAATATATTTTTTTGGCATGGCTCGGTACTTATACATCCCGCCATTGTGTTATTGCGCTATGGTAAAGTAGTGGTTAAGATAACAGCACAATGTTGACTGCTGTATCCCTATTTTTGACATTTTTACCTATTATGTCTGTTTGTTTTGTTCACACACTGTTGTCAATATAATGGAATTTTATGCGACTGTCATGCAAGTGAGAGGTTTAGCTAGCTATAAAACCAGGTTTAACCTACCTTTATCTACATAAGGAAATGCCTGTACCAAATTAGGAATATGACAGTTGTTTTCCATTCGTTTGATGTGCTTGAGCTTTTGATTTTGCAATTTGATAAGTAAAGTCTTTACGTTTTGAATTTTACTTGGAGTTCGGTATTTTTTGTTATTTTACTTTTTCCTTAAAGAAACTGGTCAATATTAAACTACTATAAACTAAAATATAACGGAATTTGATAAGACTGTCGTACAAGTGAGAGGTTTAGCGCTATAAAACCAGGTTCAATCCACCATTTTCTACATTTGAAAATGCCTGTACCAAGTCAGGAATATGACAGTTGTTGTCCATTCGTTTGATGTGTTTTGTCATTTGATTTTGCCATGTGATTAGGGACTTTCCGATTGAATTTTCCTCGGAGTGCAGTATTTTTGTGATTTTACTTTTTGTTTACAAACATATACATTTTACGATGTAATAACAATCCGATTAAAATACAATCTAGTATCCTTGCTTTGAATGCTAATATCTTTCTACTCGTCGGATTTGTATTTTAATCAGATTGGTGTAGTAACAATTCTATTTTTTTTCTTAATTAAAAGTAAACATTGTTTTTAAAATATAAAATATTGATTTAAAGTCTGGTGATTCATACAGAGAACGTAGTATCTAACCCGTTTAACAAACTTCGACACTTTCTCCACGATCAATTTGTGGAAGAAAATTTCAATCGAAATAAATGTATATTATAATAACATCACTTTGTGACATTAAAAGATACACTTTTTAAGTAATATTAAAATACATGATGGTAAGTGTAAATAAATGAAAGATGCTACATAGTTAACGCAGACAATACTTAAATATTCGCCGTGTGACAAAAGACAAAAGCTTTAATATTATATATTATTAATGCTTGAACATGATTATATGTGTGTCTGTTCAAGTGTCAATCAAATGAAAACGATATCATCCAAATGTTATTCTATCTAAAGTAATACCCAATGCAAACATTAAGACAGAAAATATACACATTGAAGCAGTGCATACAAGAACACATGTTGCTTTCCTCCCAGTTTTACGGGTGTGAATAATATAGGCAAAGAAAAATATAAGTAAAACCATGAATAAGCAAGTAATTACAATCTGAACACAAGCCAGACCAATGGTATCATTTTCCTTAAGATATTTTACAGTTAATACAATGTTTTCAATTGCAAACAAAAATGACGTGATCACCAAAGCTATAATCCCTTTCTGTAATCCTTTAGGCATTTTCTGAAAAAAAAATATTTTAGAATATTAAAACGCTGCTTAGAACTTTGCCTTAATTTTTTATTGATTCATGGATTGATTGATTGATAAATTTATTTTTTGATTTATCAATTGATTGATTGATTACGTTATAACGTTTTTGGCACCGGCAGCATAAAGTTGTTTTTTTCTACTTTTATAAGTGATCGCCTTCTAAAAGGTGAAGTTTCCCTCAGTTTTAGTTTGTAACCCGGATTTTTTTTTTCTCACTCGATTTATAAATTTCTAATAGCGGTATACTACTGTTGCCTTTATTTACTGACCATTGCTTAACGGACGTGTGCTTTAAGTAAAATGTTACAGGATAAATCAAAATCAATGTTTGCACATGAAAATAAAACAATGCATATTATAAGAAAACCATTTATAGCTGTCTAATACAAATAGGTGTTACGGGATAGACAGTTAAGCATTTTGTAGCAGCGAAATTACGATTACTCATTTTGTTAAATCTGCAATACGGGTCCTTAATTTTTAACGTATACGAATCGTTCCATTATGCACATTCGTTAACAATTGGGTTAAACGTCCAGGCTTTCGTTATTATGTTAAGACAATAGTAGTAACGAATGCTTTTCATTATTCACCACTTGATGACGCATCGGCATGTTTTCTGTTAATCTTGTATATAGAGGGAACAGAGTAGCAAAAAGTTATTTGAAAATGACATCATCATTTGCAAGAAGCTTGATTGTTTTGGACAGTTGGAGATGCTGTTTTTTAACTGTCAATCGTTAAGTATATGGAAACTAAATGTGCTCCTCGTTTGTCGACTTGCTTCTTTATTGTTATCAGACTATTTCTGTGAAGTAACATTTCATCAGCGTCTGACAAGGGAAATACATACAAATGTCTTCTTTTAGAGAACCACTGAATGGAATGAAACCAAACATGACATGAATGCTCCTTATGAGGTGTTGACCAAGTGTTGTTACTTGGAAGCCGATCTATATTCCAAGATGGCCGCCAGTGGGGGACTTAGTTTAACATAGGACCCTATGGGAAATACATACAGATGTCTTCTTTTAGAGAACCACTGAATGGAATAAAACCAAACATGGCATGAATGTTCCTTTTAAGGTGCTGACCAAGTGTTGTTACTTTGAAGCCTATCCATTATCCAAGATTGCCGCCAGCGGGGGACTTAGTTTAACATAGGACCCTATGGGAAATACATACAGATGTCTTCTTTTAGAGAACCACTAAATGGATCAAAACCAAACATGACATGAATGTTCCTTATGAGGTGCTGACTAAGTGTTGTTACTTTGAAGCTTATCCTTCATTCAAGATGGCCGCCAGCAGGGGGACTTCCTTTAACATAAAACCCTATGGGAAAAACATACAAATGCTTCTTCTAGAGGTGCACTGAATGGAATGAAACCAAACATGGCATAAATGTTTCTTATGAGGTGCGGATGAAGTGTTGCTACTTTGTTGCCGATTATCTGTTTAAGATGGCCACCAGGATTTTTTATTAAATTACAGGGCCAATATTAAACCAAATTTGGCCACACTCATTATTAGGGTATCTGTTATGATTTTAATCTATTTTTACATGATTTCCAAAACCAAAGTAGAATCAGGTGACCGACACAGGCTCTTGAGAGCCTCTAGTTATCTGATCCAACAGATTATATCCGTATATCGCAATGTTGCGATGTATTATTTTTTTATCATTCTGACAATGCTTATGCTCTCCATAGTGATTTAGCCCGTATACAATTTGATTTTGTTTTGTGTATCTTTTTTGTATTTTAGTAGTTTCTATCTACATAATCTAATTGACGTTTTCCTCATATCTAAATTATTCATAATCAACCACATTAATTTGAAATACTGAGCGTGCATGGACTTTGTTGCCTATAGGTTTGTTGGTGAGGGTGTTGAAAGTTTGCTTAATAGGAGTTGCATGTGTCTGGTACTTACCGTAAAGTTCCACTCTTTATCTATAAATATATGTGATAAACAACACTGAGACAGCAATCAATTACCAAAGGACTACAAAAAGAAATAGATAAAAGAAATGTATGATAAATTTAAGAAAGAAAAGCAAAACGGAAGATTTGAATGCTACACAGCTTTGTGACAAATAATCTACAAATCTTTTAGTTTTCTTTTTAATTACCGATTCGGAAGTTGATAAGGTTTTGGCAATCATATGTACCTGATAACTAAATATGAGATTGGTTTTGAATTGTTTGAAAGGAATTTCTGAAAATACAATGCTGCTCAGTCTTTAGTTTTTCTATTTTGTGTTTTGTATAATGTTATTTGTCTTTTGGTCGTTTTTGTTTTGTTTTTGCCAAGGCATTGTCAGTGTGTTTTCGACTTATGAGTTTGAATATCCCTTTGGCATTTTGTCGACTCTCTGAGCAGCGTTGTATATTGAGTTTAAATTTTCTAGATTATATGCAATTATTTAGCTTGTGTTAATTAAGTTATTTGATTTTGGTGAACCGCTATTAACTATTGTGTCAAAGCCCGCCATGGATATTATCCACTTGTCATAACAACAGTAAAGTCTGTTTGTTTTCAATTGAGACTTTTCTTTGTTTGTTTGATTCCAAAAAGCAACACGATGAGTGAAGAAGTTCCTGCTCATCCTTCGTATCTTTGTTGTCATCTGTTCTTGTTGTTTTTGTTTTAGTTTTCGATGTTCTATTTGTGCTTTTATATTATTAATGTTTTTGTTGATTTCAAATTGGATTCCTGTTTATTTTTTTTTTCTGTGTAAGGTTTCCTATTGTGTCATTGATATTTTATTTTTTTTAACATCAGATTAAATCATTTGCTTGTAAATATTTGTCTATCAAAAGTCAGGATAGACAGCCCCGATAATCCGTTTCCTATTAGCCAGATACAACAATAGTGCGACACCACCGATTAGCTGAATACTTTCTGTTAATGATAAAATAAGTTTTAAATACCAGTAACGGTTTATTAAAGATAGTGGAAGCGTTATTTTTTAATGTATTTCGCATACTAAGATAGTTGTACACACGAAACAGTTTTTATATTGAAGAGCACAAAGAGAGTACTTTTCTATATCACATCTACCACTTCGATTTAATGTTTCCATAACATTACGTTTCTTTACTTCAAATTGTCTAATACCATCTAAATTTTGTGAACAAATTTTTCTGTAAGTCACAAAATCATTTCTGGGTTGTCTGTAGGGTTACCTACAATTTCAGCGATCGCAACATTCTTTCAAATTTATGACTCCACCAGCTGACTGCTATAACTGTTATACTGACTCGGCTATGGAATTGCGACCTAATGTCCGCAGCCTTATATTTTGGTTTGAATTCAGAACTCAATCTATAATTAAAAAACAATTATAGAACAATTGAAGGTCTTTCCACATCAATGTTCTTAACAATTGACGAGAAGCTACTTCTGGTTTACTCAAAGCTACTATTGGTGTCCTATCATAGGTTTCCTCATACTGTTTCAATAAATATATGGTTTCTATTTACTTTTGCCTGGAATAAGGGAGATAATTACCAACTTCTAGTCATTTCCGGTCTCATGTGATAGCTTTATTCACACTGATTCCAAAAATATATAGTTTGTATATACTTATGCCTGTAATAAAGGAGATAATATGCTACTTCCGGTTTATAAAATGTCACTTCCGGTCTCAAATGATAGGTTTATGTATGACCATTCAAAAAATGTATGGTTTCCATGTACTTTTACATGAAATAAGTGCAAAAAAGACTACTTCCGGTTCGCTCAAGATCACTTCCGGTTGACATATTTTAAGGTCATATGTCACTAAACATTTTGTTAAAGATCTTATGGCTGTATCATGTACCAATCTGAAGAAATAATCAATTTACCTTAAAATCAAACATTTCAGGGGCAATAACTCCTATAAGATGTCACTGGATTGTTTCAGACCAAATATATCATATCTTCATCATAATAAAGCAAACATTTTGCACTAGTTCTTTTACATATAACTTTAAAAGTGTTAGAGAAAATGCAAAAACAAGTTGAGAACATGACCTTGACTTTTGACCTTGACCTCATTTTCTAGGTTAGGACATATGGACCTCATATAAAAAAACTCTAGGTTTATACGGCTTACGGTTTATGAGTTACAAAAACATAAAGACAAACTTATTTGGTAAAGGTAGATAACTCCTATAAAATTTCATTGAATCGCTTCGATCCAAATCAACCAAAAATTTCAGAAGATGTAACGAACAAATAGGAAAAATTATTTTGTCGTTATCTTGTTTGGGTACGGAGGAGATACACTCACAAGAAAAACAATGTTTGGGGAGATAACTCTCACAATGAAAAAGTCTTCGGCTAAAAAAATAAGTTTTAAAAGCGCAATAACTGTTCGATATAATATCCAAAATATCAAAGCGACATCTTGCCAAACAACTTTAAACCGCAAGAAAAGGGTTTGGCGGAAGAAGAAAAAAAAATAATAATTAGAAACAAATTGTTCAGAGAACAATTGAAGGTCTTTCCACATCAATTTTCAAAGTTCTTAAAAAGAATCTAATCCTGTTTACTCAAAGTTAAAATTGCCATCCCATCATAAGTTTCTTCATATTGATGCGATAAATAAGAGGTTTCTATATACTTTTGAGTGAAATAAGGGAGATAATGTGCTACTTCTGAAAGTAATGTCACTTCCGGTCTCATATGATAGCTCCTTTCATACTGATTCCAAAAATATACAGTTTATATATACTTTTGCATGTAAAACAGGAGACAATTGGCCACTTCTGGTCTTTAGTGATAAGTTTATGTATTTATATTACATAATATATGGATTCTGAGTACTTTTCCATGAAAAAAGTGCAAAAAAGACTACTTCCGGTTTTCCTCAAGATCACTTCCGGTTGACATTTTTCAAGGTCATATGTCACTAAACCTTTTGTAAAAGTTCATATGGCTTTATAATAAACCAAGTGGAAGTAATAATCAATTTACCTTATAATTAGACATTTCAGGGGCACTAACTCCTATAAGATACCATTAGATTGTTTCAAACCAAATGTAACATATCTTTATTACAATAAAGCAAACATTTTGCACTTGTTCTTTTATATATATCTTTAAAAGTGTTTGAGAAAATGCAAAAACAAGGAAAAGTCAAAATTGAGAACTTGACCTTGACCTTTGATCTTGACTTCATTTTCTAAGTTAGGACCTACGGGCCTCAAATAAAAAGATTCCAGGGTTATACGGTTAACGGCTTATGAGTTAAAAAACATACCGACAAATTTATTTGGTAAAGGTAGATAACTCCTATAAAATTTCATTGAATCGCTTCGATCCAAATTAGCCAAAAATTTCTGAGGATGTAACAAACAATTTAGAAAAAGAATTTTGTCGATATCTTTTTTTTCACGAAGGAGATGCACACACTTGATAAACAGTGAATAGGGGGATAACTCTTACAAAGAAAATTGTTCGGCTTAGAATGGGTGAAAATAAAAAGCGCATATACTGTATGATACTATATAAGAAATATCTTAGGGACATATTGCGAAACAAATATTTAACGCGATAACAAAATTTGGCGGAAGAAAAAAATTATCATTTAAAACCAATTGTTCAGAGAACAATTGAAGGTCTTTCCACATCAATTTTCAAAGTTATTGAAAAGAAGCTAGTTCCTGTTTACTCAAAGTTAAAATTGGCATCCAATCATAAATTTCTTCATACTGATGCGATAAATAAGTGGTTTCTATTTAATTTTAGTGAAATAAGGAAGATAATCAACTACTTCCGGTGAAGTAAACGTCACTTCCGGTCTCATTTGATAACTTCTTTTAAACTGATTCCAAAAATATATAGTTTAATATACTTTTGCATGTAAAACAGGAGATAATTGGCCACTTCCGGTTTATTGAAAGTCACTTCTGGTCTTTAGTGATAAGTTTATGTATTTATATTACAAAATATATGGATTCCAAGTACTTTTTCATGAAAAAAGTGCAAAAATGGCTACTTCCGATTTTCTCAAGGTCACTTCCGGTTGTCATTTTTCAAGGTCATATGTCACCCAACCTTTTGTGAAAGGTCATATGGCTTTATAATGAACCAAGTTGAAGTAATAACCAATTTACCTTATAATTAGACATTTCAGGGGCACTAACTCCTATAAGATGCCATTAGATTGTTTCAAACCAAGGTAACATATCTTTATTACAATAAAACAAACATTTTGCACTTGTTCTTTCATATATATCTTTAAGAGTGTTGGAGAAAATGCAAAAACAAGGAAAAGTAAAAATTGAGAACTTGACCTTGACCTTTGATCTTGATTTCATTTTCTAAGTTAGGACCTACAGGCCTTAAATGAAAAGATTCCAGGGTTATACGGTTAAAGGTTTATGAGTTAAAAAAACATTCCAACAATTGTTTTTGGTAAAGGTAGATAACTCCTATAAAATTTCATTGAATCGCTTCGATCCAAATTAGCCAAAAATTCTTGAGGATGTAGCAAACAATTTAGAAAAAAAATTTTGTCGATATCTTTAGTTGTTACCAAGGAGATGCACAGACTTGATAAACAGTGAATGGGGAGATAACTCTTACAAAGAAAATGGTTCGGCTTAGTAGGGTGAAATTTAAAAGCGCATAAACTATACGATACAATTTGAGAAATATCTAAGCTGCGAAACAAACATTTATCAAAAGAACAAAATTTGGCGGAAGATAAAACTAGAGGTTCTAAAGAGCCTGTGTCGCTCACCTTGGTCTATGTGCATATTAAACAAAGGACACAGATGGATTCATGACAAAATTGTGTTTTGGTGATGGTGATGTGTTTGTAGATCTTACTTTACTGAACATTTGCTGCTTACAATTATCTCTATCTATAATGAACTTGGCCCAGTAGTTACAGTGGAAAATATTTTGTAAAAATTTACAAAAATTTACAAAATTTATGAAAATTGTAAAAAATTGACTATAAAGGGCAATAACTCCTTAAGGAGTCAATTGACATTTTTGGTCATGTTGACTTATTTGTAGATCTTACTTTGCTGTACATTATTGCTGTTTACAGTTTATCTCTATCTATAAAAATATTCAAGATAATAACCAAAAGCTACAAAATTTTCTTAAAATTACCAATTCAGGGGCAGCAACCCAACAACGTGTTGCCTGATTGGTCTGCAAATTTAAGGGCTGATAGATCTTGACCTAATGAACAATTTCATCCTTGTCAGATTTGCTCTAAATGCTTTGGTTTCAGAGATATGAGCCAAAAACTGCATGTTACCCTATGTACTATTTTTTAGCCATGTCGGCCATCTTGGTTCGCGGGCGGGGTCATCGGACACATTTTTTAAACAAGATACCCTAATGATGATTGTGGACAAGTTTGGTTAAATTTGTCTTATAGTTTCAGAGGAGAAGATTTTTGTAAAAGATAACAAAAATTTACGAAAAATGGTTAAAAATTTACTATAAAGGGCAATAACTCCTTAAGGAGTCAATTGACAATTTTGGTCATGTTGACTTATTTGTAGATCTTACTTTCCTTTACATTATTGCTGTTTACAGTTTATCTTTATCTATAATAATTTTCAAGATAATAACCAAAAGCTGCAAAATTTTCTTAAAATTACCAATTCAGGGGCAGCCACCCAACAACGTGTTGCCTGATTGGTCTGAAAATTTGGTTCGCGGGCGGGGTCATCGGACATATTTTTTAATTTAGATACCCTAATGATGATTGAGGACAAGTTTGGTTAAATTTGTCTAAGTAGTTTCAGAGGAGAAGATTTTTGTAAAAGTTTACGGACGACGGACGCAGGACGCAGGACGACGGACGACGGACGACGGACGCCAAGTGATGAGAAAAGCTCACACTGCCCTTTGGGCCAGGTGAGCTAAAAAAATATAATAATAATTATAATCAGAACAAATACAATAGGTCTTTCCACAGAAAAGTGGAAAGACCTAATAATCAGAACAAATACAATAGATCTTTCCAGAAAAAAGTGGAAAGACCTAACAATCAGAACAAATACAACAGGTCTTTCCACAGAAAAGAGGAAAGACCTAATTATCTGATTCTCTCTCCATGAATACTCGGCTAAGTTTATTTTTGTTCGACTTGCTCATGTTGTTGAATAAGAGCGGTTTTTTTCTAATGCCGAATGGAAACGAAATCGGAGTTTGAAAAATATACCAACTACCTTTGCGCATGCGGTAGTAAATTAAAAGACATGTATTTAAATAGGTAGCAAGTCATTTCGTACCTTGACCATTTCGTACCTCTGCCATTTCGTACCCACAATTACCATTTCGTACCCAACATTTACCATTTC